GGGGAGACTGGTGCGATCGCGCACGTGAGGGGGTGAATCAGTGCACCACGGGGGCGGCAGCAGCTTGCTCACTGCAAATCATTAGGAAAAGTGGGGGGTGTCCTATACTTGGAGGCATGTTATAGACGGAAAAATACAGTATTCTGGAACATTTCAATGCCTGTCCTTATTTCTTCTTTCCAGCTCCCACCTCATTAATCTGTTTAGCTTTTGTCTAAATACCACAGCGACAACTTTAGTATAATTACATTACATTTATATTCCACCTTTCCACCTCTTCTGAGGAACCCAAGTGCTTCTCTACTCCATGTTCTCTGCGCAACAACCACCCTGCGAGGTCGTCTCTTCCTCCCTCTACCACCTTCCCTGTCCTCAGTCCTGCTTTATTCTGGCCCAGCTGGACAATTCGTTTGCCTCACAAGGTAGGCACTTACCTGTGGTGGCTTCACGTAATCGGCTGCATCCCACAGCTGGTGTCCAAGCTCTTTGATGTGTGTGACTGAAACCCCTTTCAGCTTGGTGATCACGGAGGTGTGGGGGTCAGGGTCCCGTTCCTGGTAGCCCTTTTTGGCTAGGAGCACCCACCTAAATACAGCAGAAGGAACAAGAAGCCAGTGTGCTTGAGGAAACGCAGACGCAGCCAGGACTCCGATGGCATTGCTGCAGTGTTCCAAGGCAGTCAGGAGAAGCAGGGCCTTTTCTGTGCCAGCCCCTGAAGGGGAATGCACTGCCCAAGCTCATCAGGGCGGCCCTTTCTGAGCCTTTCATAGAGTAGCCTCATCTTCAGGGCTTTGCCAGGGCTGCATTTTGTCAGCTGTCGTTCGCCTGAGCAGAATGTTTCATCTGATGTGGAACCCTGGAAATGGACGATCTTGATACAACCACCCGTCCCCATTTCCTGGTGTGACGTGGTGAGTAGCACAATCCGATGCATGTGTGACAGGAGGGAGGCGCTGCACGTCTCAGCATCCTTTGGCCGGGACTGCTGGAACGCTCTTGGCCTGAGCACAGCCAGGTCTGCCCCGGAGCCTCTCGGGCTTTCAGAGGAAACTTACGGTCAGTTCCAGC